GTTGGGTAGTATGTGTTGAAGTACTGCACCAATGCCATGGCTCGAAGCATCACAGTGCAGTTACAGAGGAATTGCAGTTGCTTCTTCGCTTCGTTGAAGGCTCTCTGGCATGATTTCGACCATTCCCATTTTCAATCTTTTTGCAGCAGTTTATGTAGCGGATGTAGGATGTCGGCTGTGTCACTGATGAAATTTCTGTAGTAGTTGAGCTGTCCCAGAAATGCTTTGAGTTCTTTTTGGTTTTATGGTGTCTTCGCTTATAGGATCACCCTCACTTCCTTAGTGTTTGGGTGGATTCCTTGCTTGTTTACGACATGTCCTAGGTACTCGATGGAGTCCTGCATGGAGCAGCATTTTTTCTTTCCCAAGGGAAGGCCATGTTCCTCGAGTTTTTGCAGTACGATGTCCAGATTTTGCAGGTGATATGATCATTCTTGCCCGTTACTACACCACAATGTCATTCTGAAATACACCTGTGTACGGCAAGTTCCCAACAAGTTCTTTGGTGACGCGTTGGAAGATAGTTGATGCTGGGGTTATTCCAAATGGCACTCTGTTCACCTGGTAGGGCTCCCTTTGTGTGGACCTTCACAAAGAGATCTTCAGTCTTCGGTAGTGGGTATCTGTCTGGCTTCGAGGCTGGGTTGAGTGTAACATTGTAATCCCCGCGTACGCGCACTTATCCATTTGCCTTCATCCCTGGAACGATTGGAGTCGCGCACTCACTCCTCATCGCAGGAGTGATTATGTGCTTTTTCTCAAGACGATCCAGCTCCTCTTCAATCTTTTGTTTGAGGGTGTATGGAACTGACCTTGGTCTGAGAAACTTTAGTTGAGCATCTTCATTTACGCGGAGTTTCACGGCGTAGTCCTTCAGTTCTCCCAGACCTTCAAAGATGGGATCGTGTCTCTGTAGCACACTTGCGAGAGTTAAGGTTTCTGCATGCACATTCTGTACTTCCTTCCAGTTCACTTGAAAGTCCTGAAGCCATGTCCTTCTCAGTATGGGAGGTCCCCCATTTTTCACCACATGGATTTCATGACGCTTGACTTGCCCGTTATCTGCATCTCCACTTGAACCATTCCCTCTGGAACGATAGGCTTGCCGTTGTACGACTTCAGCGTTATTCCTAAAGGTTTCAACTGGATGCCTGGAAGAATTTCTTGAAAGGTCCCCAGGTTTATCTCAGTCACGGGTGAGCCTGTGTCGACCTTCATTTGAAGAGGTTTGTTGCAAACCTCTGCAGTTGCTGTGATGGGTCTCAGGTAGCTTGAGTCAATGAAATAAAACGGAGTTTCGTGTCCCGAGTCCCGAGTGGTGACATGGTTGGCAAAGTGTGGTTTATCCTTCCTTTTTGATCTTGGTGATCACATCTCCTGTCGTGGCAGACCATTTGGAAGTGTCCTCTTCTTCCGCATATTTTACAAGTCTTTTTTCTTGCAAAGCTGTTTTCAGGGCCGACATTGTTCTTTCTGCGGTGGTGACATGGGGTCCTGCTTGTGCAAGATTTTCCTTTACCTTCGCTTTCCTTTTTCGGAAGTGACATCTTGTATTTCCGCCCTTGTGCCATACGATTGACATCTTGTTGGGTCTCGATCTCGCTCCTTATTTCCTTCGCATCCTTCATCGCTACCTCTATCAAAGTGGCAAGATCCATCGCTGTCTTGAATGTCAGCGTTGGTTCAGCCAGTAGCTTTTCGAGAATATTTCCGTTCTTTCTCGAAGTCTTTTCTCGAAGTCAGTCATGGGAGGGAAACACCGAAGTTGCATTGCAGCGAAAGCTTTTTGGGCGCAGCTACATAGTCTGCTGTGGTTTCAGATTCCAGCTGCTTCCGGTGATGGAATTTGTAGCGTTCAGCCGTTTCATTGGGCGTCGGGTCGATCTGGCCCTGCACTAGTTGAACAATCTGTACGTACGTCTTGGTGCTTGGTTTGGCAGATGCAGCCAAGTTCTATATTTGTCCGTACATTTCTCTTCCAACTATAGAGAGAAGAACATTGGCTCACTTTAATTCCGGAATGTCATTCGCAGCAAAGACCACTTCGATCCTTTCGCTGTACAAAGACCATGATTTCGATTTCTGATCGAACTCTTCAATGTTCCCGATGCAAGGCATTCTTTGGGTTTGAGATTGGGCATCACTCACGTTACCACTGCCTCCTCTCTCTCCTTTGTTCAGAGGTCGCTCAGTTGTTTATATCCATCTTCGTTACATGGATCCCATCCTCGTCACATTTTGATGTGCCGGTTAATTTGGGATAATGCAAGTATATATTTATTTAATTGTTTAGGTTACAATCGGTTTGTGTTGCTAGAACCGTCTTGTCTGGTCTGCGACCGCACCAAGTCTGTGGCTTCCAGGCATCCCTTGCTTCTCTATGGCTTGCTGCTGGGCTCTCCCCTTTCGATGTCTCAGGTTGTATCTGCCATTGTTTGGGCTCAATAGGTCGTGTTCGCTGTGCACCGCGAACACGCACATAATACACAGCACATGCCAGGAGCATTTTACAATGCTCTCGCCAATGCAGTAGCAGTCTTGAATGCAGTTAACAGTTTATTCTTAGCTTTGTTATGTAGCTCAAAACTTCTGCCCTGCCATCAGTTGCCTTTCCCACGTTCAGGTTGCGCCTAGCCTCCTTTCCAGTTTTTCCCAGTGTCTATCTTTTTCTTTACTTGCTCCCAGGTTTGATCATGTTATAGATATAGTCAGAAGCTTGCCAGTTTGCTTAGTAGTTTTATTTCAGATACTTGGAAGGCTGCACTGGCAGTTCTGTATGAAGAACAAATCAAATTTCCGAAGACCCCCTATTTGATCTAAACTGTCCATGGTAACACTTTCGAGTATTCCTTTAATTCTCTCCTCCCCCTGGTTACCACTGACTTGCTGCCTCTCATTGTAGCAGTTATCTGCTGTAAACAGTTTATACAGCAGAGCTGTTAAAGGGGCACTGACACCCCAAAGGTCTATTTTTTTTATTGTCTAAATTGATGCACGTTGTGGTCATAAACAAGCAAAAAAAAAAACGCATCGCGAAAAAAAATTTTCCCACGCGCGCACGCCTTTTTATTTTTGACGTTCTCCTCTCCCGCTTTTTGCCTCCTCACTTCTTTTGATTCGTGACGTCAAGAATCATGAAATTTAGAAGCTTCGTAGGCGACATTTCTCTAACATATAATAACGGCAATCGTAAAACATATTTTTTAACACAATTGCGAATGCCTATGGCCCTCCTTTTTGAAATACCAAAAATCGGAGTCCGTTGCGATGTTACCTTCTGCATTTTTATCCTTCCTCGGAAAACATGGCGGCGCTTGATGTATGTAGAGAGGGTGATCAGTGAATCGGGGAATTGGACAAAGTGGTCTTTTTTAGGTGCCCGACGACCTCTCAAACTTCGAAAAGGAAATCATCAAACAGTCAAAACAACTGGGTTTGGTGTCCGTGTATCGTAGTTTTGGTTGTGACACAGTCGGGGCACCGTCGTCGGCTCGAAGCGATAGGCAGCGTGGCACCCACGCAGGAAACAGGCTTTCTGGTACGGTGGTTCCCTCGACGCCGGCGCCCGGCGCCCTTCTCCCGCTGTCACCTCCTCGCTTTCGGAGCGGAGGCGCAAAAGAAACTGGACTCTCAGGAGCCCTCAAATGTTGACGTCACTCCACTGGCGCGGATCGCGGGGGAACTTCAAATTCGACATTTGGAAATTGTTTTTTTACTTCACAAATACTAAATTCCCAAGTTTCGAATTTTGAGGGTAATGTCCAGGCATCGTTTTCAATCCTTTCATACAATAAAAAAAAATATGGTTTTGATGTGTCTGTGCCCCTTTAAGGGCTAGTTTCCCCAGGATCGTGTCCCCTCAAAGGAATGTCGACACAACACTCTGGACAGCTACTGCCATCTATGAGCGACTGTGGCAAGCCATGCATCTGGTTGTTGCCGCCACTCATAGACGGCTGCCTTTTCACTCTGGCTTGCCGACTTGCGGCCGGCCAGTACTTTCCATTGTACAACTCAGCTGGCGTTCCTTCTTCACCAGAGTGGAAAGGCTGAAAGTTTTTTTTACTTTTTTTTTATATTTCTCGTTCATACTGCTGAATTACATGCCATGAGGGTACCTGTGCAAGATACTTATACATAATATATACTACACCCTGTATAGGTATTTCCTCCTTACACCAAATTAATTAACAAAGTTTGCCCAAAGAGACATTACAAAAGGGAGTAAGTAAGACAAATAAAACAAAATGTAAACTTAAAGAAAACTAGACAATACAGTGGAATACAGAAATGCAATTCTATTGAGTTGATTGTAAAGTCATGTCTCGTTAAAATTGACATTTCTGTTTGGCCCAAAAATTGCCTTTAATGGGAGTTGTCCATAATAAGACAAAAATGAATGTATACACCCAGTTTTTCCCCGAAAATTGTGTCTATATAGCATGGTATTCATATTTAGGGGGTCCATATTAATGAACCATGACATAGTAGAATTATTACTAGCATTATTTATACATGCTGCCTTGGGGATGTGGAGAGTAGTTAAAAGCTTATGTGGAATTATAGTGTATTCTCTTGTAGTACCTTTATGTTACCTGGGTCTAAGAAGCAATTTAGGTATTAAAAAATGACAGATATCTCTGGTGAGTATGTGGAGGGTGAAATCTTGAGGTTTCAAATCATGTGCCAAGAAAATAAGTATCAAATCAGTGATGGTGCAATTGCTTGTCAATTAATTGCTATATTTTTTCAGTGAAATGTCATTTTTGATCATATTTCAAGTTAATAGCGAAAATTATAGAAAAGTGGGAACGCTCTCAACAAAACAATAATGACATTGAGCCTAGGTGTACCTCTCTTTCTTGAACACCACCACAACTGAATATTGGTTTTTCTGAGCACCGTCTTGGAGCTTGTTCTACTCCTGACCATAGGACCTCAGTTGTTGCTTTTCTTTTTAAAGATACCCTCTCGTGAATTATTTGTGTATCTCCATGCAGGCAAATCAACATTCCCCCAGCTGGGCCGCAAAGGCAAGGCCGGCAGCATTACCTTGGAGCTATGATGGGCCTGACTTGCCTGTCCTGGACAAGCCCTGATCTCAGTCTATCCCCACAACTCACATTTTCGTGCACCTCTAGGTTGTAGATCCTCCAGGAAGTAACTACCGTATATACGCGTGTAATGGCCGCAGGTATTTTTTTATGATTTCGGGCTAGAACTAGGGGTGCGGTCATTACACGGAGAAAAATGGAAAAGTTTTTTGGAAATCATTTTTTTTTCCGCCAAAAGTTTCACTACTTGCCTTCATTAAATGGAACTACTCACATGCCTTGGTAGAACAAGAAAACATTTATGGGTATTGCATAGACAGGCGTGCAAAGTCCTTTTCACTCCTCCGTAGTAGATTACTCATTTTTGGAACTTGTCTCGGCGTCTCGTCGGCGTCGACACCGAACTTTCGCGCGGCTTTCGCGCGGCTGCTTTTTTGCTGTTGTCTTGAGCAAAGGCAATAACTTTGAGTTTAAAGTCGGCTGTGTAACTTGTGTACTTCCCCATCCAGAAGCCTGAAGTGGGTGACAGCGGTAAACCGGGGGTGCTCGCAAACACAAAGAGATGCACTGTGTCTAGTTCGAGATTGTTTGAGATGAAGCGAGAGGCATAAACAGACGGGGCAGAGTGCCTCAATGTTGTTGGCTGCTGCAGCCGGGTAGGCACCATCTGCCGGCAGTACTTAAAAAAAAAATGGCTGCACCAAAGATTTTAAAATTGTAGGTGTGGCCTATACACGGGTAATTTTTAAATATAGTTTTTTCGGCTTTTTTTTTTTTGTTTAAAGTTAGGGGTGCGGCCATTACACGCGTATATACGGTAAGTTGGGTAGTGAGCCGCGATTCAGCATGCAGCTATGCAAAGCAAATTGACTTTTTATGTCTTGCTAAAACGTGCACTTTATAGCAGCATTGAAGCCTCACTTATAAAATTGCAAGTGGTCATGCACGGGTGTCTTTTTGTGTAGTGCTTCCCAAGTGTCGAAGAAGAAGTGATTTTAATTGTAAAAGGACATTCTGTGTGCTTACTTGACAAGTTGTGATCACTTTCCATGCACTCTGTGTCCCCAGAAATGTAAACATATACTAATTCCGAGTGAAAGATTCAGGAAATGTATTACTCCGCTAGAGGTGGAGGTGGACTACCCAGTGACTGAGTAGAGAATCATCATCTAGGGCAGCCTTTCTAACTGAATGGTGCTTGGTTGCAAGTTTGATATTTATCCTTCTTGTATTTCTAGGCATCTCTTTGCTTCAGTTGAGCAGCTTTTTTTTTTTTGAAGGGTCAGTCTAAATGAAAACTCGCATGTTACAAATAGTTTTGTGCTCTAGTATTGTCATAATTGGGTCATCAGTGCTGAGTGTAAAGGTTATGGGCACATCTAGCAGATTACAAACAAGAAATACAGAATAAGAATGGAAGTGCTAAACTCCTATAAGTATTATATTCCTGTGAATGACCTTGAACTGCTTGCACACCTGCTTGGTATGAATAACTTAATGTACCACACAGTATTCAGACATCTTTTTATTACATAGTACGGTGATCAGCTCTGTCATCGATGTTCAGATGTGTAGGTGGGATGGTTTAAAAATTGGCGGGGGGAAGACATCATCTTGGAAGTTTCTTTTAGGGCGAACCATTAATATTTTTCTTAGAACATGGCAATTTTCCACTTTCTCTCTTACATTTGCTAGGGAAGAGGGAAACAATTCTTTTTTTTTTATGTTTCGGAGAGCAGGATAATCTGCAATAGAAACATGGGACATTTGGAGGACATCATGGGGAGTGCTTGAATTTGGCTTTCATTCTTGTAGCTGTAGAGAAAGGGGAAATCCCCATTTCCTTCTTTCCCATCAGCCGGTCAGCTTTTAGAAAGAATGTTTGTGATTGGCCATATCGATTGGCCATATCCGAACCAACTCTGCGGTCCCTCGTTTTAAAGGAGTAACTTATGCTACCTAATCCAGTCTAAGAAAATGTTTTTAGTCACAATGGACAACACTAATGACTGACTTGTGTTGGCAAACCTTGTAGCTGTTGTCTTTTACTATGTGTTTTATGTGTTGAATGCGTCAGCAGTGCTCCCCTCGTATCGCTGAAAGGTGGTCAACCCCTCTCCTACCTCAGCACGACCGTAAATAAACCTGCGGAGAAATCAGTCGGAGCTGTACTATGTTCCATTACATTTTATCTGCAAATGTTCCATGTCATGGGGGGGGAGGGGAGGGGGGGGGGGGGGGGCGGGGCGGTTAGAGGAAATTTATTAACACACGCACCGCGAACCCAGGCTCTGTTAACACATTTAATATCCTGTGCTGTTAATACACCTGCTAATTGTATGGCGGCAATTAAGCTAAATTAATTTTCACTCCCAGTGATCTATCTTTTATGCCAAATGTGTTATTAATCTGTCGAAGTTGAAAATATAAAAATTTATTGTAGCAGAACTCAATGCATCAAATGGAAATAAGAAACAGTAAATCTTTTTCTGGTTATTGTTTCCTGTCAATGCTCACTTTTATCAACATGGTCCTACACAAATTTTTAACATTATATTCTTTTTTGACCGTTCCGAGTTGTAGGCTTTTTGCCTTGTATGGCTGCCTTCCCTAAAAGAAAAATTAACACTACCCCTTCCGCATTGACGCAGCGATTTCAAAATAATTACAATACTTTATATTTAAAGGGAAGCTACGGAGCTTCTTGGAAAAAATGAGTTAGAAGTGAATTCTAGTGTATTTTTATCCCGTGAACCCGAATACCCAAACCATTTGCTGCGTAAGTATTGTTAAACGCGAGAAAAACGCGAAAAAACAGTCGCTGTCCGTGACGTCATCGACGGCTCTTTTGGCTGCCCAAGGCTAGGGAGGCGGGGCTTCAGTCCTATTTTGAAATTGCTCGTATGGCTCTCCGGCGGGTCGCATTGAAATACAATTTTGATATCTGTTAATCTAAAGGCCAAATGAACGCAATTCAAGTGTTTTTTCTCAAATGTAGAAGTGCCCCATCTTCCCTTTAAACTTTTGGAGGGCAACTTTTCTTACATTTAAACTTTTCTCCGGTGTGCCTCTCCCCTCGCCACCAAGGGGAGAGGCACAAGGGAGCAAGCCCGTCGTTTCTCCTGCAAGAACGACGGTTAATTGCTTCCCACAATGCTTGGATAGAAAATGGTGTACCATTGCGATTTACACGATTACCAGCGACCTCCGCGCTTCCCCGTGCCCCGTTGTTCGGCAGCGCCATGAGTTGCGGAGTGAATTTTACGACAGTATAAAATGCGGGACATTTTGAAGATTTGAGAATTTCTTGCGGGACGCGGGACACGAGCCCTCAATGCGGGACAGTCCCGCGAGTCGCGGGACGGGTGGTCACCCTGGGTAAGCTGCCAATACACTTTGAATAATCGGGTTAAAAATGTTTGCATTTCGGTTGGGACCACGTTGAACTTCGATAAATACGATAATTAGAAAAAAGCTATTTCGTTATAACGAGGGATTACTGTATGATATTGCTCTGCATTCATATGTTTAGAATATGTGGTGTCTATTAAATAGTGAGACTGGTTGCATATAATATGTGGTTTGTTATTATAATATCACATATTTGCTGTCAACCCTTCAACATGCTCCCCCCACTTAATGTACAGCGTTGCGTAAAACTTTTCCATGGTTGGAGAGAGTGCTGCAGGTCATCATGTGTCGACCCATTCAGCCACGCCACCGTTTTCTCCTTTGCATCGTCGACACTTCTTACCTTGCCATTTTTATTCTCAGTGACGTGAGATTCTCAGTGCATCGATTCTCTCTTTGTTTTTAAATTGTACTGGCAAATTTATGTTTTGTCAAATGTGACGATCTATTCCAGCGAGTCTGGTTCCGCTGCGAGTTGTTTCATGAAATCAGTGTGAATCTGTTACCGGGTATCTTTCTACTCTTGACTGAGGTTTTTGAGCACCATTTTATGCAGATTTGGCGGATACATATTTAATTGGTTTGCATAAGATTTGTCATACAGTCTCTTTATCAATGTGCACCATGTCTGCTATCATCCAAATGCTTAACTGTCCATCGTTGTGACCCTTTCTACTCATTTTCACAATGTTTTGTTTGGTCAAGACCGGAAAGACGCACGGAAAACAATTTGCACACACGTCACGGAACGACTCGCAGTGAAAGCTGACTCGCTTGGAAAGATCATCGCATGTGACGGGACGTAGATTTTGCGGTACAATCTGGAAACAAAGATACAATTGATGCACCGATAAACTACCACGTGACCAAAAATAAAAAAAAAGGCGAGGAAAGAACCCTGGATGAGGTAAAGGAGAGAACGGCGGCACTGCTGAAGATGTTAACACACAACAACCTGCAGCACTGTTTTCGGCAATGGACAATTTGCATGCAGCATTGTATAGATGGGTACGGGGAATCTGTTGGGAGGGGATAACGGTTCGTGCTAGCAGTAGCTTCGTTCGATTTACCTGCAGCTTCTGCACCGGTGCAGAAAAGTGTAGGACAGTGTACTTCTGGTATGTGTATTCAGATACGACCGGAAGTACACTGCCCTACACTTTTCTGCACCGGTGCAGCAGGTGCAGGTAAGTCGAACGAAGCTACTGTCACATAGTGCACATGGGCACCCAAGAATGCCTGTCCATCCTATCCCGAGCTTGGGCTCTAGCGAACAACTTTCGCTCAGCCGTTGTCTATTTGAAAACAAGGTGTTAAGGTCGAGGATGAACTGTACACAGTTCATGCAGGTTGAACACATGAACACTTGGTACAAAGCATCGATTTGGGGCAGGAAAGAAATATATATATATATATGAAAGAGATGTGTAACTGTCAGGGGTTCTATCTATGTGGTTTAATGTGATGTTTCGAGTGGGTACCACCTTTTTTTTTTTCTTTTTTTTTTTTTTTGGGGGGGGGGGGTAAAATATGTACAGCTAGTAAAGGTTTCGAGACCTGTGGAGGCTAAAAAGTTATGGAGCAAAAAACAAAGAAAAATTAAAAAAAAGTGCAAGTAAACAAACAAGTACACTTCATGCAAGTTTGAGGTCAGTAAAAAAAAAAGTGCATGTTACAATTTAACACAGGCACTCACTCAATGATGCACTCATATTGATGGGGCACAAGTGCACACAGACACTGCTTAAAAGATAAAAAAATAAGGCTGTTTATTTTCTGCATAAACTGAGCATGAGCTTAAGTAGAGCCTTTTGTAGTGTGGTTTTAGTAACCCAGGTAAACAATTTGTTGTCCACTGTGCCTTAGATCCTTGTCTTCCTCCTTACCTCTCCTGCCCCCTTGAAACCTTTTTGGCTGTGGTGTGCCCCCCTTGTTTCGACTAACTTGCACGGAGAACTCATATTCTGTTCATTCTTGTTGCAGTTTTTAGGCTGTTGCATTTAAGCCTAGAAATCCTGCACGAGCTTGCCAGCTGGTGTAAAACTAGTTTTTGCTAGCTGCCGTGTTTTCAGCTTTAGATCTCCCATTGGTACCTAGAAAGGTTCCTTGATGTCCCTAGCTAGAGAAAAAGTCTTAATTCATACATTTATTTAGAGGACCCAATATGTCAACAACTGAATCAACACATTTATATGAGATAGCAGGCATCATGTTATTTTAGCTAGATTCTGGGAAAGTGGGGATAAGATCATGCACATTACTATGCTCATTTTCACCTCAAGAAAAAAGGAACTTTTGCGCATTGTTCATATGCCACATGATGTAGTCCTTACAAGATTCGGTTGTCGGAGGAAGGAGGGATGCTTTTGGCATTTGAAACTTGTATGTCTTGATAAGGTTTCATATATCTAATCTAAAATGCACCTATATATATGTTATAATCTACATTAAAAGGAAAATTAGTTATGCTCCATGAGGAGCCAAACTTTGTTTACTACAATTCTGAGGTGAAAACAAGTTTAGTAGACTTGCATGAAAAAATTGATTATGCTCTATGAGGCAGCAAAGACATACCCTATTTACTCGCATAATTAACACTTTTCCCCCCAAAAAATTGACACACATTACACGGAGTAAAATTTCTGCATTTACACATTCTGTGTAAATGTCATCGTAGATGCCATTATGACACGGCAGTGTACTGTAGCACGTCTCCACTAACGGAGGTGCACCCGCAACTGATTGTGGGCGCGCCATAGTGCCCATGCTCTATAAATTGCGAGCCTCTTTTAAGGCGCTTTCGGCGTGCCTTTTGCCAAAGGAAAAGCGACCTATGAAGCTCTTTCAGCACGAAGAGAGACGCGA